CTTGCAGATCAACTTTTTTTCTGTCAAGGGCATCAAGCAGATTATCCATCAGAAGCGACCACAGAAGGCCACCTTGAGGGCAGCCCCTGGTGACCCTGAACCTGATGGCCTCGCCTTGAAGAGTCGTAGTTGCAGTTCTGTTTACTAGCATGGCATAGATCCAGCCAGTTATGGTCGATTCTATACCCTTCCTGGCCAGAGACAATCCTATAAATTTGGGAAGTGCATTGTTGAATGCTTCTTCAATATCAAGAAATGCAACAACTTCAATCTCTTTGTTGTCGAGGGATTGGGAGATTTTCTCAACGAGGTTGTTTAATCTGTCGATTTGGCGGTTTGATAAGCATACTGGTGGTTATTCAGGGGGGATGCATATAATGCTACCCTCCTGATTTGTCCGTCCAGTATCCTCTCAAGTTCTTTCAGCAGAAAGGATGTAAGGCTGATTGGTCGTACCGATTTAAAGTGTGGGTCTCTCCAACCCACTTTAGGTATATATACCACCCCTGCTGCCAACCAACTGGGTGGAATGAAGTTCCACGCCAGACTAGCTCTATACAATTTTGTGAGAATAGGTAAAATAATTTCCAGTCCGTTTTGAAGAAGAGCTGGAAATATACCATCCTCTCCGGGAGATTTTAAGGTTTGAAAAGACTTGATAGCCCACTCAACTGCCGGTGCTGTGATAACCTTCTTTGCGACGCCCCAATCGTTCTTTTTTGGGCGTTTAGCGCCCTTGAAGATGGAAGGTCTGTTGTTATCAACAGACTGGAAATCTGACACACAGATTTCCAGGAAAGTGGCTTTCTATCAAAAGCTCTAATGTTTCTCTACTAGAGGTCGTAAATGTTCCATTGTGTAGTTTGAGCAATCCAATTTCAGCATTCGGCTCTCTAGAGAGAATCTTGTGAATTCTTATGCTGCAAGCTAAATCAGAGATTTCCTCCAAGACTCCCGTTTTGCTTTTCTGATTTCCTTGTTGTTTAACGTTAGAGTAGTTTTATGAAGCTCCCCGTTTCCTGACTCTTTAGCTCGATTGAATAAACGTCGAACTTTTTTTTTTATTTTCTAGGCTTTTGTTCCACCAAGAAGAGTTGTGGTTATCTCTATCAACTCTCAGTGGACAGTTCTCATGAAGGGATGAGATCACTGCTTCGCGAAATTGCGTCGCTACTGTATCCATATCATTACAACTGTGAATAGTAATGTATCCGTCCTCAAAGTACGATTGGAGGGAATTTTTATACCCACTCCAATCAGTAGATTTTGAGTCACAATTATCCACTACTGGTCTTGGACCTACTTCAATATTAAAAAGAATATATCTTTCTGAACAAGAAGGTTCAGTAGATACAGACCAATGGTGTATCTTGTTGCTCAGAGAATGTGAAATGATGGTTAAGTCCGATACCTCTTGCCTATTACTAGTGACAAACGTTGGTCCCGAGCCTTCATTAATTACAGACAGCCCTTTTCTTAGGACATAATAAAAGAGTAACTCACCTCTACGGTCTATACGGCGTCACATCCAATTACGATTTGAAGTTTTTCCATTTTGCTGTACACGATAAGTCGTCTAACAGCTAGAGGAGGTACATTATCCGAGTCTCCCGGAAAGTAGGCGGAGCAGGCGATAATATTCTTGCCCGATAGGAAAATTTGGATGGCTAACACGTCTTGGGTGCAGAAGCCTGTAAGCAAAAAATAGTTAATACCTTTCCTGATGACCAAGCAAGCTCTAGGTTTCACCCCAGGGCACGATATCACCTCACCAGGAATATTGCTGAGTCCGGTTACTCGGCCTGTATTTTCTCTTCATGGTTCCTGCAGGAAGACAAGGTCTATTAATTCATCCTTGAAGTTTTTACCAAGGACGTATGAGGCGGCCTTAGCATGTTGTAAGTTTGCCTGCAAACACTTGAAGTTAACAAGTGTTGCCACAAACTTAGAACTGCTCGTCCCTAGGAGGGAGGAGATGGGGGTTCTTCAAGACACATCCACCTTCCTCTCCCGGGATCGAGTGATGTGTAGGCTCAGATGATGAGGTGAGGACACCTGCCGTCTCTGAGTGGCCTGCTAGATTTTTGCTTCCCTTTGACGATTTTCGTCTTCGCTTTCAGAGAGCCACGTCCAGCCTTCTTCCCTGGTTTTCTCTACGAGACGTTAACCGTCTTAGTCTCCCGAGAAACACCAGTTTTTCCGGCCTTGGGATGGGTGTGAGCCGCTGATTTACCGTTGTGTTTGGGTGGAGGTTTAGTTGAACTCCTCCCCATAGGTGGATTTCCACTCGGCCCCGCTTTATTTACTCTAACGGGTACACTTGTGTGACTCGTTCGAGTAGTTTCCTGCTGGGAGGGTGCCCGGGTTTTAGGGCAAAATGAGACCTGCCCAAAACCAAAATGTGGTCTAAAACCCGTCCTCACCAGCACGGCCATGCTCCATCGTCTACAGCGAAGGTCCATGTTAACCAGGGCCTGACTTTTCCTTGTGGAGGATCGTCGACTCCAAGGTTGACAGACCATGGTTCATTTTCCTCAGTCTAGTGAGAACCTGTTCGGAGGTCAGTCTGTGACTGCCTCCGTCAGGTAGGTAAGCAACACAGATGTATGGCTTTGGAAATTGATTCCCTGTGACGCATTTCAGGGAAGCGCCCTCCCACGGTTGCAGGGTATTAACTACACCCACAAGCCAGTCGGCGCTAACTTGATCTTCACTGACGACCTGTAACCATCCAGGCCGATAGATGCAGCTCTGGAATTGTACCTGCGGCCCATCATCTGAAATAACCTCCATAGTCGACAAAATAGCCCCCTAGAGAGATTCCAGCTGATTGGCCGTTAATGAGATAGTCGGATAATCAAGGTGCAAGATTCCCACTTCGATACCCGCGACAACCTTCCCACATGAGGGTTTTTGTACATCTGGTACATCTGACGATGCCTTAGATCCAACCGTGCAGGGCTTTTTCGCCTCTGGTTTCGGTGAATCATCATTTGATCGCAAACGTTTGCTAACCTGCTCATGGGAGGTTTGTTCCCCCACCTGAGACAGAGTCTGCGTACGCCGCTCAAGAATTTGGTGCAAGGCGGTTTCTTAAGGTACTCCGCTCTTGAGGAGACGACTCGTCTGTAGACTTAGCGTCAGAAAGAACATTGAAATTTTCTTCGTCCATAAAAGTTTCACAAGTTGCTAGGGAAAGAAGGTCAATCACGGCAGAGCCTCGCATTACCATGACAAGGCGATGCTACGACGAGAGGGCGCCCGGTATCGTGAAGGTTCCGTTAGAGACAGCTGATAGGCTCAGTGTCAATCATCCTCTCGGCACGGATTGAGCGATCGTTGGGATGCCATTCAGTTAGGGAATAACATAACCACACGTGATTCTGTCATTCCCGTATCCAGTGGGGCTACGTGGAAGCAGGCATCCAATGGCCGGTTTGCTCAACCCCCATATCCCAAGCCAAAGCACTTGCCAAAAACAGCATACACAGTGGTTCAGGCAGTGAAAGATGAACAAGGATAGCCAACCCGCCTAGTTTTGATGTACTCTTCAGTGATATAAATTGACTGACCGACCGCCAATTACCTTATCAATTCGATCTTTTGTCAGATCTGTAAGTCAAGATCGTAACGGTTATCAGTTCTGCGTGTCATTCATTTGGGAGTTGGTGAAGGAATTATGAAAGGTCTCTCTGAAAATAATCCATGATGATAATTCATCGAAGTTATTTTAGAGATACATTCACCAGAAATGAATGTATTCTCATCGGTGATGAATGTATCTATACCAGTTATGAATGTATCTGAACAAAATGGAGAGATCCTGAATTTTCCAACGATGCTCTGAAATCATCTAAGTCTGTCTGGTGAAGAAGACTATTTGAAATCTGGTTCGATATGCACCTCAAGAAACATCAAATGTTTCGAGACAATGAAATAAATATTTCTATCACGCCTATACTATAAGAAAATACTAGTATTATTTCAGTACCTATACACCTGGCGTGTATGGTGATGACTCAGATGGGATTATATGAGACTTTCAACGTTTGTTTGAAGGTGGTTGACAATGTTTCGTAGTGCATTTCATCAGTTCGAACTTCCATTGTCTAATATGATATAAATTGATTTGAAATCCCTGAAAGAATCTCTAAAAAATTAAAAAGATTAGCTGAAAAACAATTTTATTAAGCAAAAAAACTGAAATTACAATGAAATAACATACAAGCAACAACCAAAAAAAAAACAAAAAATTTAACTATTAACACGAGCTGGTTGTTGCTTGTATGTTATTTCATTGTTATTTCAGTTTTTTGTCTAATAAAATTGTTTTTTTACCTGATCTTTTCAATTTTTTACAGATTTTTCCAGGGATTTCAATTTCTTATCATATTAGACAATGGAAGTTCGAACTCATGAAATAAGTCTTTCACTTAGCGATCGATATAGCTTTCTGGGTTTTTCTGGTGGAAAATTAATGTTATGAATTGGTAATGTCAAATGTGAAAAAATTATTGAATCCTTATTAATGAGCCTTGCTTAATTGTCTTATATTTTCGCTCTGAAAGAGATAACACCTCTGATATAGGAAAGTTATTTGTTTCGATAATGTAAGACCTCTCCAAATGGTCAAATCATATAATCTGCTTCCTAAGAATATGGATAATTTTGGATTATTAAAATCTGTCGAATAAAATCACTTCAACACGAGTTTATCATGCAAGAATCCATATACATTTTCGCTTTAATTTGAAGTTTTCAATTATAATTCCGAAGTAACAATATCCATGATGAAGTTTAAACAAATCTCACAAACACTTTATTATCTACTCGCTAGTACCGCAGCTTCCTCTACCAAGGAAGCTAAAAATGTTAGTGAAAATTAATCAGTATTATCATAGGTAGTGTTATTAATTATCATCAGGTAGAGGGTCAGTCCATTCATAATTCTAAGTAATAAATTTACTTAAAGAAACTCAAGGTTTTCTGTTTGATTTCAGTTCAAAGAAGATGCCATAAATGCAATCAATCCACATATTTTCACGATTGCAACGCTGACTGGCCACGCAGCTCGTACCGTAGGAGAAGGATATTCAATTGGTGAGTTCAACATTCGACTATTGATATCAAAATCACAATCACAGTTATGAAAATATGTCTGGGGTCATCGGTATCCGCGTTTTTTCCTAGTTCAGTTTAAAATCTGTTTAAATATATGTTTTTCCGTTAATCACTGCCGCTCATTACACTATTTTTCAAGCTTTTCTTTATGAAATAGAAAAACCAATATTTAGTTCATTATCATCCATATTTTCAACGTACGCTCTGGCGCGAATGCCATAAACTCGTAACTGACTTTCATAGGCATAATTTTAAAACCTTAGAGATGTATTTTTTTGAGAATGAGATACAACCAAAACTGACATCCGTTGATGTAGAAAGCTTTCCATAGGTGATATTTATTTTTTTCAATCCAACGAGCCACCCTCAATAAGCCAATTCATATTTGAACAAGGAAAAAAGGTAAGACACATCAGCTTTAGTTTTCTCAGGGATAAATTTCTACGTAACAATCAATCACTTACCATTCACCCCCCACAACAACCTTCATGTAAGAAATTTCATGCCGTAATAACTTTGACATAACGATAAACAATTTGAAGAAAATACTCTCAAGTTTTTATTCATTCCAAACTAGAAGGTCAAATAGAACACACAATTTTACAATAAGTAATGTTCAAATCGAGCACTTCTGTCATAATAATCTCCTGAGGACGCTAATTTGGTTAGCGAAACGCGCGTCGAGAGTCCGTAATTTTGTTCTGGTGTTGAGGAAGTGTTTTCAATAGATTCATTCTACACCAGAGGTTCCAGTACGAACTATCAAGTGAATGATACTTTTGAAAATACTTTGAGTAAGTCCAAGCAGAACATTAATATATGTTTGAGAGTATACTCTGTTAGATATAAGTAGAGACCAGTTTCAGTGCTAGAAATTAGCCTACTTCATCTCGTAGACGCCAACCTGGTTGTTGAAACGTGAGTCAAAAAGAATGTTGCAGTTATGGTGTTTGGGACTGTGTTTTGAATTTATTTTACGCTAGATGTTGCAGTTTTTCACATTTAATAATAGAAATAAGAACTTACGATGGACATTTTTTTGTTTGAGTCACGATATGTTCGGAATTTTGTCACTTAGTTAACAATGAAGTTGTTGAAATTTATGTCAAAATTATTCTGAAACTGTTTGCTCATCAGTGCTAAGCTGAACCACTGAACTGTCCTGGAAGGAACAAGCCTGAAATTGAAGGCGGTAACATTTTTCCTTATTAATATGTCATTTATGGAATCCACAGAAAAAAGTATCTTTGAATATCAAAGATAAACGAAGCTCAGCAAGGCCGAACGAGATTCTTTCACTGCAGTTCTCACTGCCTCTTCTTTCAGGCTTTTTCAGAATATTTCAATGCTTCAGCCTAGTATCACCGATATGACAGAGGACAAATTTAATCTCGTACACTGGTCGATGTCGAAGCTTGGCTTTACAACTGACCGCCGTGGGGAGCCTCGTTTACCTTTGATATACTAGGATTGGGTGTTTTCTCTCTTCCATAGATGGCGTTGTCGTGGGGAGAGATTTCATCGCCTTCACTTTCAGGAATTGGAATTGTTACATTTATGTTGTAGTTGCTCTATTGGAATGAATAGTATAAATGTTTTCAGAATTCTTCATCGACGCAAATGCCACCCTTACAAAATTGAAATTATTCATGAATTGAACGAATATGATTTCGATAAGAGTTGAATTTTGTTAGATTATGTCGGAACACGTCAACCAATATCCAACTTTCTTATACATGCTCTTATAGATGCTCTTTGGATGATTCAACCTTTCATCTAAATAGGCAAATCAGTCGTCAAAATTTCGAAAACTGAAGTGATTCAAATTTTGATATGGCAAGTCACATTCACAACCAAACTGTATGTTTGGGTAAGAATTTGGAGTAACAATAATATAGGACTATTTTTTGGAAGCGAACCCAATGAATAATATTTCAATTTATTGAATAATCAAGCTATGCTAAGCATTAACAATGCCATCCAGTAAGATCCTCTGTTGCGAATTTGGGTAATTTTTCAACAAGATGGGACTCCTAATCGCGTAGTACCAGTGGCAGTTTCTTGATAATAACTTTTCTAATCGACGGATTGGAAGGAGAGGTTCTACAGAGTGGTTACCTAGATCCCCGGATTTGAGTCAACTGGATTTTTTCATAGGAACCGTTGAAATCAAAAGTCTACGAGATGCAGCCAATCACTGTAGATAATTCACGTTGAGAAATTACAAGGTGTGTAGGCTACTAACACCTGATGTTGTTCAAAATGTGAGGGAGGGAACAGAAGTTCATTTATACCATTATTGTGAGTCGATATCATTTTTTTGTTTCAATTTTCAGTACGAAATCAAACACGAACCTAATTTTTTTGCTGACATGCCTCATCGTGATATTGTCAAAAATGTCACAGAATTGAAAAACCATTCCAAAAATGTTATTATTCACATTTGATATTTTTGACATATGTGTTGTTATGTTAGAAATGTGATCCTCTGAAATCCAAATTTGACGTGTTTCAAGTGCATGTTTCACTTCATAGCCTCAATATCAACTGGCTCTTTCAACTAGAATATATAATATGATTTCGAAAGGTTTTCATTCAGTTCGTTTCGCCGCTTAATTAAAAGTTTCTGCCTGTTGAGAATTTCCATATTTGTCGGATTGAAAACGTTGTTGTTTCTTTGAAGTTACTTTTGAACTAATGTTTCTCTTGTTACTCTATATCAATAATCTCAGCTTTCAATCTTATGATGTAACGTTCATGAGAGAAAACATTCTCTACCATTTTCTCCACACTGGATAGCCTACCTCTGTTCGCCAATCCAAAGCTTCATTGGTCTCTTGATTCACCGACGTAGGACTCACCGCATTCACAGGTTATCTGATGAACGTGGTTCCTAGAATCGTTTGTAGTATTTGGTTTTCTTGAGTGCTACGAATTTTTAATTTCATCCTGTGATTTGACGTTAATGTCTGTTGTACCATGTTCTTAGCGTATCCATTCCGGTGAAGTTCTTTATTGTGCAGCTATTGAATGTGCGACCTTTTATGCGTCATTCAAATAGTCTCTAGTCTCGTGATGAATTTCCCTAGTTCATCACGAAACATTGTCAATCACCTTCAAACAAAGTCTCTAGTCTCTAATTCACTCGCATTCGTTATTCACTGTCACATTTATAACGGCAATTCATTTTGAAATTTGGTCTACATTGTTCATTTAATGGAAGATCATCCCATGCTGTTGCAGAAATTAAAATTTTTATTCAATTTTTGTCGAAACGAGTTTTCCCAAAAGTAATAGGTTGAGAAAATCAATTACTTTTTGGAAAATAAATCTGATTTTTCCAAATTTCGCCCACTTAAGAAACTCATTTTTTTTGCTTCTATCGAGTTTCCTTTAAAAGATTCAGATATGAATCATTATGAAACTATATAGTCACTTGGTGATGATACCACTCAAGTGGGCATCATTGCTGTATGACACCCGATTCGCGACACTTCAATTTCACCAAAATATCTTTTGAGCGAAAATGATTTTGTTATCTCCTATGAAGAGGTGAGAACTAACCTTTGAGGTGACTCAGATTAATGCACAATAATCATTATTTTTCAGTTTTGTTCTTCAACTGTATTTTAGATGCTTTCAATGTAGGATATCATTTTTTCTTGAACGTTATATTATCAAGAAATATATCGAATTATTGAGAATCAAGCAACACTTGCACCTTTGCACTTTGAAGTGCAACAGCTTGACAGCATATCAAGTCCCAAATTTGTTGCACTCAATAGAAAAATATGTAGAATTCAATATAAGAAATAAGTTGAAGATAAAATTCTTCAGCTTACACATCCTCTACTTGTTCGCCCCTTTCCATTAAAAGTATTTTCACGCCTATCTGCTGTACTATTTGAGACACTGAACGATCCATGTAAGTTTATTTTATTATCTAGTTTTCATTTATTAGATTTTATAGAATTTTCAAATCGAATAAGAGTCGAGTCCACAGAAGTATTGGTTTCATCATGTTTTCTCCAGATTTCAACAGAGGGAGTGGGTGATATCTTCTCATGGTACACATTTTTCATAAATTTCGTATTGATTGGTTCCTATTATTTATGCTCCAATATATAAATATCATCACATCCCCTTAAAAACCTATTTTATAATAAAACCAGATATAGGTTTTGAAGAAACTATATAATTATTTCGGTGTTATATTTTACAGTTGAAAGAGATCATGTTCCATTCCTTATTTCAAATGATCCCATTATATCTGCTTCAGCAGTTAGAATTATTTATTCATGCTTATGAACTGACGACTGGAGTGCAGTCTCTTCGAATACTGCATAAAGTAAGGTCAAGCTGATCACCTCTTAGTCTTCATTCTAGTAATAAAATCAATCGCATTTGCATACCGATACATACAGGAAATACCTCACTATCTCGTGAATAGAATTTACCTCTTTCATTTGCCAATAAATTGATACACTTATGAGACTATGACCGGTAAGAAATATTACACCCGGATAAGGAACGCCACCCACTCGATATAACAAATATTCTTGTACATTTTCTTCTCATTCCTCAGTCGTGATTTTCATTGTTCGGAAGAAATGTTCATTTTATCGTTGTTCCTTAAACTATGTGGTTTGGAAAGAAATTAATGCTTTCCATGTCATTTTTTCAATTTTGAAACTCCCAATTTTTTAACGTTTTTTTTTTTTGTATAGAATCGTTCTGTAATACTTCCTTCTACGTTTATTCTACCTAGGACATTTGTATTCCATTGGTATTTCATATTCCTCATTTTAGAAAATACTAGATATCCGACTCCAATCATTAGTCAAATCAGATGAAATGTCTTTCTGGCAAATACAGTAATGAATCAGTAATTCATATAGATATTTCAAAAATATTCAATCGTGCTCTATTTCATATTATAATTTCAAACCATAATTTTTTTTCTGACAGATAATAAATCT